CATTTTGGAGAAATAGAAATATGGACAGCCTGTTTGTTTGCAGGATAAACATATGATCTCTTGAGACGTGTACTAAAATCTATGCCTGAAATTTTATTATCAGTAATTGAATTTGGTCATTTTTCTTTCTTTTTTATTTAGGAGCAGAAGAGGAAACAGGATGTGAAGGGTTTACACTAAATGTGGGTAAAGAAATATGAAATGATGTGTTTAAGGTTCATTTTCACCCAGCCCCTTCTAGAGTCATTCTGTAACGTGATGGCATTGTGGGGCTCTTCCTTGTCAGGTGATAGCTTTTAAGGCAGACTTTATGCTTTGCCCAGTGTGCCACTGAGTCAGGGTACGTTCCTTGTGTGGCCTCAAAAGCTACAAATAAATGTGAGAGCAAGACCTGGACGTAAGTCAAGGTATATGTCACTAAAAGATAGCCTTTCAAATGGAAGAGTATTTAGAAGTTTTTAATAGATAGCATTCTAAAACTATGCATACCTGACTATGTTAGCATCTTCTATTCTTTTTCCTTATGAAAGCAAACTCTAGGCAGCATGCTTACTATCAATAATTGCAAACCAACCTCGGTCTTAAAATTTAAAACTTCACCTACATTGAAGAAAAAAATGAGAAGAAAGAAATCCTGGTTTTTCTAAAGATTTTTTTTTCTGGTCACATTTTCAGTATACTTTGTCCTGTGTATCTGAAATATAATTTAGCAATTCTTTGCTTTTTTCCCAGAAGTAAACAAACTTTCTAGAAGAAAAGAGAAAAATAAAACATGACAAGGTTTCCCCCTTGTGGAGACAGGCCTCCAAACCCATAACAGCAAGTCTGCTTCTATAAGTACAATGAATTACAGCTGTATTTCAACTTCCAACACATGGAAATTTTATACACTTAGTGTCACATTAATGCTGAAAGATTTTAAATTTCACTATCACCACTCTTGAGAGTCTAATGAGGCTGGCACCGCGGCTCACTTGGCTAATTCTCTGCCTGCGGCGCCGGCACCCCGGGTTCTAGTCCTGGTTGGGGCGCCGGATTCTATCCCGGTTGCTCTTCTTCCAGTCCAGCTCTCTACTGTGGCCTGGGAAGGCAGTGGAGGACGGCCCAAGTGCTTGGGCCCTGCACCCGTGTGGGAGACCAGGAGGAAGCACCTAGTACCTGGCTTCGGATCAGCGTAGTGCATCGGCCACAGCGTGCTGGCCATAGCGGCCATTTGCGGAGTGAACCAACGGAAAAGGAAGACCTTTCTCTCTCTCTCTCTCTCACTGTCTAACTCTGCCTGTCAAAAAAAAAAAAAAAAAGAGTCTAATGACATTTTTATATCAACAATGATAGATACTGAAAAAACCTTTCAGCAGTATTATATCAAACCATTTTTATACAGCCATATCAAATCTCTGTGGATTAACCTTTTGGTGATAAAATCTTTTTACATTCTGTGAAAATAATGGTAGAACATAAATGCCCTTTTCATAGAATTGCTTTGTTAGATATTGGGCTAGGATAAGATTCTGAGAGATTTAACATTCCCCCTTTATTTGAAATTGGGAAAATATTGCCTCTTGAAAAATGTCTACAAATTTGGAAATAGTTTTTGACTTAATAACTCCTAAGTAGAAGTCTGATAAATGTGAGTAAGAATAACATGAAGCAAAATGGCAATAAGGGGCAAGCCAGACAGAAACAAAAGTTGGCTTATTCTTGTGAAACAAAGGAAAGTTTTCTGAGGAGTCCAACAAAACTTGAATCCAAGTAAAAATACATTTTTACTAAAGTTATAGAGTCAACACGGAAATGGGATATTTTGTTAAGCCTAATATGTTGACTTAAAAATACAACTGGACTGCTCATTTTAAATTAAATAAAAAGGTGGAATGACATATGTGTTTATCCCCTCCACCTCTCCAACCCTTGAAAAATGTCTCTTACCCAGAAGAACAATGGAAATAGGCTTGGCAACAACAGAGGATAAGATACCACAAAGAAGGTGGAAGTGAACAGAGGAGCGTAATGGACTCAGTGCAGCACAAGTCTCAACTCATGTGTCTAATTGGTCTCAAGCTAGAAAAGCCAAACAGTCCATTCACCCTCAGAAGTCCACAGAGCTACCCAAGGAAGGAGTGAAGCAAAAAGTTCAAACATAATAGAGAGAAAGTCCTTAGGCTCCCTCCCACAACCACAAAGCCAGGAAACTTGTGTACCCTGTGCCACCAAGAGAAAACAGATTTATTTTGCAAGGAACCAAGTAGAGTGGGACTGTACTCAAGGAACACAGTGAAAATTTAACTGAATATACTTCCCAAAGCCCCATTTGTCTACACTGCCTTCAGAATTATAGCAGACAGATGCACATTCCCACTGGTAAGACATTGAAAGATCAGTCATTGCTTGAGATACTGGCTTTGGGGTCTCGAAAGGAAAATCTCCATCATGTTATAATGAAGTCTACAAGATGATGACCTTAACTGAAACTCACAGAGTTTCTGATAGCCTTTTTCATTCCTTTCTCAGAATTATTAAAGGCCAGACCAGCATCACCAGAAAGTCTAGAAAAGCCCCCAATAGAAAAGAGATCTCAAGCTAGGCATGAGAATTTAAAGACAAAGAACCCAGCCAATATAGGCAACACAGAGACATTCAGTTTGATGAAGAAATATATATATATATATATATATATATATATATATATATATATTACCCTGAGAGAGAATAAAAGCAGGATTCCTTGGAAGTGGAAGAAGAAAAAAGTGTGGAATGTTTGGAAATTCAAAATACATGAAAATAAAATATTTAATAGAATGGCAAGGAAATAAGGTTGAAGAATAACTATAAAGTACAAGAGATAAAGAATTTAAACTGAGAGGAATTATATTCAAAATTAGGGTATCAGTTGGTACATATTATATCTAGACTATCAGAAATTCTATGATGCAAAACAGGAAGAACACAAGGGAGAAAAAGAATGAAGAAATAACACAAGAAAAGTTCCTGGGACTAAATTTTTTTAGTCTATAGACTATAGAGTCCACCTACTTTGAAATACATTGAACTTACAAAAATCCCATCCAAAGCAGTGAATAAAGAGAACATCCTACAAGTTTCCAGAGAGATAAAATAGCTGGTGGACCAAGCAACAGCAATCAGAATTGCACTGAATTTCCTAATAGCAAAGTCAGATACTAGAGGACTGAAGTAATGCCTTCAAAATTTTGAAGGATAATGAGTCTCATCTGAGAATACTACAACCAGTCAAACCAACACCAAGTATGAGGGCCCCATAAAAATATTTTGTGGCATGCAAGCATTTAAAAATTGTAACTCCAAAAACATTCTTTCTTATAAAAATACTGGAAGATATACTTAGGCAAAGCAAAATGGGATAAAAAAAAAAAACAGAAATAGAAATGCATAAGATACAAGAAATAAAAAGACTCCACTCAGAAGAGAAATAGAAAAAGTTCTGAGACCTAAAGTGAAATCCAATCTACATTGCAGCTAAGCAGTTCCAGGAATGGGTACTGAGGAAAACAAAATTTTGAGTAGCTATTATGTTTAACCACATAAAAAACAGTGCAGAGGGAGCTTCTATAATCCTTGTGAGAAATTTGGGAAAAATAATAGATACATAGAAAACCAGTTCACAAACAAAACAGAAGGCAATCATGAACTCTAAGAAAAACAAAAAGTTCACGTGAAATGAAAGGTAATCAACATTGATAAATAATTATATAGAGGTAATAAAGTAAGTATTGAATAATGATTTGACCCAAAATTGTGCTATAACTCTGTTGATAGGACAGGAGACTGGGAAGAAGAGGAATTTTTCAAAATTTTTGAATCTTTTGAAAACTAAATAAATCCGCAATTGTCGCAATGGAAAATCAAATACTATAAGAAAAAAGCTAAAAAGAACTAAAAATTATTTTGGGGGGAAATATAATTGAAAATTGCAAAGCAGTGGTACAGGAAACTTGTTTTTATCTATAATCTTTTTATCATGTTGATGTGTGAAACTTGTTAAAGAAAGTAAATATGAAAATTAATAAAAAAAAGTTTAGAAAGAAATCAAAGAAGGATGTACTTTTCTCTTAAGGGAGGAGAGAACTTCACTTTGCATATGGCCCTGTCTAAATACCGATAGAGTTTGCGGACTCAAAAGGCTTCCATAGCATTGGCAGTTCATGTCAAGAGCCTCATGTGGTCACTAACATCAAAAATAAGAGTGCTAATTGTTAAATCAACAACAGGAGTCACTGTGTAATAACTTCCCATGTAGGACTTCTGTCCTTAATGAGTTATACTATGAGAACTAACTGTAAAACTTACTCTCAATCTGTACTTTATACCTGGTGTGTATGTATGTGCGTATGTGTGCAAACTGTTGAAATCTTTACTTAGTATAGAGTTGGTCTTCAGTATATAAAGTTAATTAAAAACGAACCTGAATGAAGAATGGGATGGGAGAGGGAGTAGGAGGTAGGATGGGAGTGGGGGTGAGGGTAGGAGGGTGGGAATGGGGGGAAGAACCACTATATCCACTATATTCCTAAAACCTGTACATATGAAATTTGTATTCATTAAATAAAAGCCTTCTAAAAAAAAAAAAAGCTCTTGTTGAAGAGGCAGTATACCACAGATAGAAAACAACCTGGAAACCATTGACTTGGGAATTAAATATCCAAGCATCCAAAGAGTACTTTATTCTTTCAGGGGAAAAATTCAACTGAATCATTTAGAAACTATATTAGTCATTGTCCAATATGGTAGCCACTTGTACACAAGATATTGAAATTAATTAAAACTCTATGAAATCAAAAATTTCTTTCCTCCGTCAACTAGCCTCTATCCAACTGTTCAACACATCACTACATGTAGTTAATACCAACCATACTCAAAAGCACAGATAGAGTTACCCTTGAGCATCAAAAGTTCTGCTGGTCGCTACTCTAGAATAATGGTCAAAATTTCTTTAGTAGAAATTTTCACATTTTTATACTTACTAACTGTCACTTTGTCCTTATCTCCCAACATAATGTTGTTTGGTGTCAGATCTCTGTGGACAATCCTCTTCTCCTTGTGTAAGTACCGAAGAGCTAAGCAGAGCTTGAAGCAAGAATAAAAAAATTATTTTCCCCAATATACATATAGCCAGTGATGACAGCCACCCATACCTCTGAGAAATGAACTCAGAACTTTACTTGTTCCATTTTAAAAAACAAAAAAAGAATTTTTCAATACTGAGAAAAATTTAATGACAACAAAAGCATACCTGTATAAATATTTTCCATAGTCTTTCTTCAGTAAAATGGTGTTGTTTTTCCTTCAAAGAACTGAAATGCTCTCCAAGTGGGACTCCTTCTATAAGTTCCATAACTATATACAGCCTATCATCTAAATAAGAAACACAGGAGGTCATAGAAATTTAAATTCAGTGTAGAATCTCAGAAACAAATACCAATGAGAATCTGAGCTTCTCCCTGGGAGAGCCAGGTGTAACACTAAAGAAGCCGAGATGTGCTGAGCAGGTGGATCCACTCAGCTTTGACAGGGTAGAGGTGAGGGGATCTTTGGCCCACTAGAGCCCTGCCATAATCACTACTTTCTAGTGTAAGTTTACTCTGGCAAATATCACCGTTTTCTGTGTACCCCAGGATGAGAAATGGTAGGAATATGTCAAAGAGAACGGGAAAAGAATCCCAGGTCATGGGTTCCTCGGATAAGGTATAAACCTGTCTTTTCTCCCAGTACTTGAAAAAGTACCATCAAATCAAGGCGAATGTTCTGAATGCTGAATTTTAAACTATACTGCTCTGTAGTCTCATAGAATTATCTTACCGAATTTTACAATGGAATCATGCCATGGTCTTGCAAAGACACAACTGAAAACACTATCCATGACAGAAATTTCTATTGGGCCCCTCAAGAGTGGAAAAAGCTGGATTTCTACAGGTTTTACATTGGATACTGGGAATCTCGTAGCACTGCATTTATCTCAGTTTTCTTTGGAGACAGAGAAAAAGAAAATGAATTCTACTTCCTCTTCTATAACCAATATTAAACCATTAGCAATGGAATATGAAACGTGTATTTTTGTGATTTTCTGACATACACATAAATATGTAAGCAATATTTATAAAAGTGGAATAATAATGAACATAATTCTGTACCTTACACTTTTTAAACAATTTTAAATTTATTTATTTGCAATGCAGAGAGACAGAGAGATCTCCCATAAGCTGATTCAGTGCCTGAAAATTAGCAACAGCCAAGCCTGGGCTGGGCCAGGGCCAGAACTGAGAACCAGGAACACAATCCAGATTTCCAACATGGATGGCAGGAACCCAATTACTTAAGCTATTACCACTGCCTCCCAGGGTCTGCATTAACAGGAAGCTAAAGTGAGAAGCCAGAGTCAGGGATCAAACCCAGGTAGTTCAAATAGGCAGCCACAGGCATCTTAACTTCTAGGCTAAACATCTACTACTATACTGTTTTATTATTACTGACTAGACAGATACAATTATTTCTCTTCATTGCACAGAATTGAATGATATAGATACATCAATTTATTTCATCATAGTTCTGCATAGAGAAACTTATATTGTTTCTAATTTTTCACAATTTCAAGAAATATTTATCATTTGTACCAATTTTATCATTAGTTTAATTGTTAATTTTTTCACCTTTGATTCTCCTTTATTACAATTGCCTAATTTATTTTATTGTGTTTCATATTTTTTGAAGCCACTTCAAATTCTTTTTGGGAGCTGTCAGGTTGTAAAAAAGTTGTAGTTTTTATATCAAAACAAGTTGTGGGACTGGCAATATGGCACAGCAGGTTAAGCTGACATCTCCGAGGCCAGCATGTCCCAGCTGCTCCACTTCTGATCCAGCTCCCAGCTAACAGGCCTGGGAAAGCAACAGAAGATGACTCAAGTACCTGGGCTCTTGCTACCCATGTGGGAGACCTAGGCAGAGTTCCAGGGTTTTGGCATCAGCCTGGCACACACCCAGGCATTATAGCCCTTTGGAGAGTAAACCAGTGAATGGAGGATACCTCTCTATTTCTGTTTCTGTTTCTCTCCCTCTCTCCCTCCCTCCCTCCCTTGTCTTTCTCCCCCTCTCTTACTCTCCAATTCTGCCTTTCAAATAAATAAAATAAAATAGGTATTTAAAAAAATAGACAAGTTGTGTCACTTCAGTATAAGTCAGAAGCTAACTTTGATCTCCTTTTAGCAGGATGTGCACTCAGTAATGGGAAACCATTCTAACGTCAAGAATAAATGGCTAAAGAGGCAGGATTTATGGCACGAGTTTCAGTGCCAAGTTTTTCTGAGTCATCTAGGGGGGAGGGAAAAGGGTAAAGATCCTAACAAATGCCAGACTACAGAAAAGCTCTTCTTAAATAGCAACAGCACTGAGAACCTAGTGGGGAAATCCCAATTGCTGCCTAGCATCTCTTTCAATCTACCTTTAAGTGGAAATTTATTTTGAAATTTCCTATGTGTCAGAAATCATGAAGGCTGATAGATGCTTATATTATCTCAGTCAATGATTCTGGTTTCTTTGTTTGTTTGTTTGCTTTGTTTTAAAACAAGTACTGAATTCAGCTGTTTTGACATTGGCTTCAGTGTTCTATCAGCCTAGCAGGAAAAGACGCTGCCTGCCTGCCTGCAGAAGTGGCCAAGACTTCACTGCCACCTTGTGGCACAGACCTGAATGTCATGTAAAAGAAATTTATTTTGGAGGTGGAAAATGACTCAGACAACTTTCCATTTTTTTCTATTTGTTTGCTTATTTTTGTATGAGAAGATAGCAATAATAAAGTGTCTTTTATTTGGGGATCTAAATATGTCATATGGAAAAGTCATTAATTATATTACTGCCTTACCAGTCAATAAAGTGATTTTCAAGATCATCCACTGTCATATTTTTTAAATTTCATTTTCCATGAATTTCTTCTCTTTTTTTTGAGAGGCAGAGATTTCAACCTCTGTTTCAGTCACTGAATCCCTGCAATGGCTGGGGTTAGTGCAGGATCAAAGCTATGAGTTGGGAACTCAATCCAGGTCTCCCATGTGGGTGGCAAGAAACTTATTACCTGAACCATCACCACTGCCTCCCAGGATCTGATTATCAGGATACTGAAATCGGGAGCCAGCGATAGGCACTGACACTCCAGTGTGGGACATGGGTGCCTTAACCAGATCTTAACTGGTATCCTAATCACGAGGCTAAGAGTCTACCTCCATCCACTGTCATTTCAGCAACAAAATAAACAAACAGATATGTTTATTTTATGATGTTATATACAGGAAACAAACATTTCTTTAATTAGAAATATCATGAAACATAATACTTACTTTCCAGAAATGTTTTATAATAACGAACAACATTGGGATGATACAGCTGTAAGAAAATAAATAAAAAACATTCATTCATTATATTACTTAAAAACATTAACACAGACTACTTAGTTGATTTTCACATTTGAAAATAACAAAGAAACTATATTTATTATATATATAATAAGCATTTCAAGATACCTTCTAATTGAGGTTTTTATGAATTTTAAAAATGTGTTGCCTAAAAAATGAATCTAAAAATAAGTATCTCTTGTGTAGACTTATCAAGCAAAATTAAGAACAACGCTTTAGCCCCTAAGCTAAAATAGATAATTATAGAACTAAATGGAACTACTTGCTCCTATATCACACGCAGACATCATAAAAGAGAAAACTGAAATAAAATAATTTATATTGCACACATTTCATTGCTCTTTAAATATTTATACATTGTTAATTTTGTCTATGTTCTCCAAAATGATTAACATTAAACTGAAAGAATCTGAGTTAACTCAGTTTAAATCATAATCATGATTGACAAATTCTTCCTTTTTGACCAAACTCCCCATCAGGCTCCTCTGAAACCTCTTCTTGACTAAGCCTTCACCTTGGCCTGACCAGTTCTAGCAAGAATCCTGCCAAGCCAGGTCTTGAGAACTCCCCCACCCTTGATAGCCCATCACTTTCCTCATCCCTGCACCCTTGGTATCTAACCAACTCCTTCCTAGCAATTTTCCACTCATTGAATTCCTCACCCTACCCACTGGCTATAAACCTCCAACCGTCCTTGAAGAACCTGGAGTGGGGTTGAACCTGCCCCTTCAATGGCAATAGTTTGACCTCTACTGCAGTCTATTGAATCAAGTCTTCATTGCAGTTTTTGAAAAGTGCCTGGTAAAATTTCTCTTTCACAAAAGCTTACTTACATAAGGTTGGGAACGAAAATTTTATTTCTTAATATTTTGAGGGGCCAGTGTTGTGGCATAGCAGGTAAAACCTCCGCATACAATGCCAGTATCCCATATGGGAGCCGGTTCAAGACTGGGCTGCTCAACTTTCAATACAGCTCCCTGCTAATGCTGCTACAAAAGCAGTGGAAGATGGTCCAAGTATCTGGGCCCCTGCACCCACAGGGAGATCCAGAAGGAACTCCAGGCTCCTGGCTTTGGCCTTTATGGCTATTTGGGAAGTAAACCAGCAGATGGAAAACCTCTCTCTGTCTCTCCTCTCTCTGTAACTCTGCCTTTCAAATATATAAATAAATCTTTAAAAACAAATTTTTTGAAAGACACTTTCCACAAGAACACTAAAATATGTGTAGTTTACTTCTAATTTGAATTTGTAGGTAAATTGAAATTTGTCTTAGTGCAGAAGAATGGTCATTTATCTGAAAATTGCTTGCATCTCCTTTTGGTCTTTCTGTGTACCTTTTCGAGAGGGAGACTGCCAGCTGACCTCCAAAATTCTGCTGTCCTACTCTTCCATGGTAGTAGAGTTGTAGCAAGATATGGCTTCCTGGTCAGAGAAAAATCTCTGAGCCTCTGCTGTAGCCAGGAATGGCTCTGTCCTGCAGTACTCACCAGCAGCGTGTGAGTGCAGGCAGAACAGGTGCACTCCTGGGTCTGAGCCCTAAATACTGTGTGCTCCTCTTCTCCCACCTTAGATATAAAAGTGTCTATGGCAGTTTCAACCATGAAGAGGAAAACAAATGCCCTAGGAAGCAGCCAAGACCCCAAATGACTACCAGAGAACACTACCAACCTGGTCCACTGAGTTTAGCACTGAAATATGAAAGATAAATAACCTAACAGTAGTGTCAGGCCTCTTTTACAAACAAGTGACCAGCATATCATATTTTAAGCTCTACTGGACCACTTAAACAACTAGAACTATTTCCTAGACCTAGTTCACTAGCAATGGCTTGGGTCCAAATGAAGATACTAGGTTAGTCTAAGTCAAAAGAAATCTCTAACCTCATGCTTTAACAAAACAGTACATTGTGGAAGCCTAGATTATTCTACAAATGAGAAAAAAAAAAAGAAACAGGAGACATTATTCTAACCATGAGCAAACAATATCTTTTGGAATTCATTAACATGTAAAATGTCAACTAAAAAAGAAGCCATTAATATGATATCTAACATTAAAATTTATAAATAAGGACAGAACTGCAGAACTGGATAAAGATCATCATATTTATGATGTTTTTATGTACCAGAAAAATAAATTAGAACAGAACTTCATTTTGATGGATAATCATATTTATCATGTTTTTATGTACCAGAAAAGATGCAGTGCAAATTTAACCAGAGGAGAGCAAAAGCGGTGAAGCTGGTGGCTCTCCACAGGAGGTAGAAAGAAATAGTGTTTGTCATGACTGTGAAAATAAGGAAGGCTGCAAAAGAAAACAATGCATTCTTGGAACACAAAAAGAAACCCTATTTCTCTCGTGACATGTTTATTCTTTCTCCCAAAACAAATCTTCTTAATGATAGTTAATTGAGCTGTTATATTATGTCAGAATAGTCTACTCATTCCAGTAAATAATAATACATCTTGAAAATCCACATTTCAGATTTAAGAAGCCATATTTGAGGAATGTTAACAGCTGGGTTCCATTTGAAGAGTCCGGGAGCTCTCAGTCACATTCCGATGCATGTAACCAAGTAAGCAAATATTCTACCACGACGAGAAGGGAATGAGCACGCTTACAACAAAGAGAGAAGGTTTTTTTCATATATCATGCTTCTGTTTCCAGAAGCCCAATTGGTTTGCAACCTTGATATCAATTCCAGGAAGTTTCTCTGATTCAATGTCAAGCCTTAGAAAAGCAGCTGGTGAGAACATCACTGTCTCAATATCAATTATTTCACAAAAGCTAGTTCATACACCGCATGGATAAGAATAGAACAAGAACTCTACTCTCTTTCAATGACACTTGTCTAAGAAAAACAACTTCAGGAAAACATTTACCTGTTCCTTAATTATTGTTAATTCAGAAACAATATTTTTTACACTGCTGTCACGATCTTTTTTATCCTTTCCAAATGCTGGGTTATGTAAATTGATCTCTTTCATTGCTAAGAGATTTTGACCACTGCGTTTTCTGACCTGAAATACAAAGGACCAACAACAAAACAAAAGGGATAGAGTGGTGAGGGTTGGAATGGGTAAATTAACAAAGTCACATATTAACCAAAGCATTTAAAATTCTGACAGTATTTATGCTGAGCACAACTCAAAAAATGATATATCCTGGATCAGTCTATAATATTCAGTAGAATATTATTGGCTAAATACAGGAAAACTGAATTTAGAGACTATCATGGGGTTGGTGTTGTGGTGTAGCAGGTAAATGGCCTCAACTGGGTCAGTCCAAAGCCAGGAGCCAGGCATTTCTTCCAGGGCTACCAACTGTGTGAAGAGGTCCAAGGAGTTGGACAATCTGCTACTGCTTTCCCAGGCCATTAAGCAGAGGCTGAATTGGAAACAGGGCAGCTGGGACTAGAACTGGCACCCATATGGGATACTGGCACTGCTGCCACAGTGTCCACCCCTGCTCCACTTCTGATCCAGCTCCTTGCTAATGGCCTCGGAAAAGCAGCAGCTGATGGCCCAAGTGCTTGGACCCCTGCCACCCATGTGAGAATGAAGATCTGGAGGAAGCTTTTGACTCCTGGCTTCAGCCTGGCCCAGTGCTGGCCATTGCGACCATGTGAGGAGTGAACCAATGGAGGGAAGATTCTTTCTCTCTCTCTCTCTCTCTCTCTCTCTCTGTGTGTGTGTGTGTGTGTGTGTGTGTAACTCTGACTTTCAAATAAATAAGTCTTTTAAAATGATAGAGAATGCATCATACATTGGGACAAGGTATTTCAACTGTTTATGAGAGAGAGATTAATGATGTCTTTTTCTCTTAAAAATTAGTGGGCAGTTTCTAGAGCGGAGAGTTAAGGCAACATCAGCGTAGCTATCTCTGCCTGTTGGACAAAATCAATCAAATGTTTGTATCTATCGGTTCACTGTTTTCCAATGATGAGGGCTCGAATTAAATTGAGTACAGATGTGCAAGTGTGATATCTGGTTTCTTTAAGAATATCAGAAACGTTTCCCCAGGGGCAAAGTCACCTTGTAAACACAGCCAAAAGCTCCACTTCCAAGATGATCCAAAATCGCATAGTTGCCTATGTATTTCGAAGGAGCTTTATTCTGATTAATGCTTTCAATATTTTCAGCAATTTGCTTCAGTTCGTCCTCCTACCCAAAAGAGATCAAAGAAACGGGTTGCTGTGATAAATCTCATCCTGACCACATGGCAGCCCAAGAAAATAAAACACAGAACTTACCACTAATGAATTCAACTTGGATACCAATTCTCCATAAGCATTGATGTCACGAACATAATGCCCTATGTCAATGAAGATCTCAAACAAGTCGGTGGGGAAAAGTCTACAGGGAAAAATACACACGCACTTAACACAGAGCTCGGAAACTGCTGTTTATTGCCTCCCTTTTGAACATAGCTCACTCACAGGTTAATTATATGAAACCAGCTTAGCTTGCCTTGGTTATCAACAAAGTAGGGAAATAATATTCCCCAACTTGCCTTGCAAAAGTATGCTACAGCTACAGGGTTAAGAAAAAACAGAGGAAAGTTCCAGAGATCTGCTCTGCAACATGGTGCTTATTTAACAATACTGTACTATACACTCAAGATTGTTAAGAAGGTAGACCTTATGCTATGTGATTTTTGTCACAATAAAAATATAAGTATGATAAGCACTATACAAATACATTATCTGTAAGATATTTGGGGCTGTAGTTATTAAACATATTAGAAAGGAATGGTTATTGGGTATCATTGAGTGATAAGAAATTTCATAAACACCATTTGATTCAGTCTTCATTTTAACCCTAGGAAACAAATAGTAACTTAATTTTTAAATGCTTTATGAAAATAAGATAAAAAATGCAGGTAAATGGAGAGACTTCTGCATCATTTCCAAGGTACTTGTTTCAAGACCTTGGAAAATGTTTATGTTCACTAAAATGGGTGGTTTAGACTACAGAAGGAAAATTTATATTGGATAAATAATTTTACTTCCTTTTCTCTTAAATTCAAATGTTGTATAGAAATAAAACAACAACACAATATGCTCCATGTTTTTTGAACAAAAGTTATTACATTAACTCAAAACTTTATTTGTATTCTGCCTTATCAACAAAATTCTCATAAGAATGCTGGCCTATGACTTTGGCTAATTTGTCCAAATGCATGGTGCCTGCTTCCCAAGAGGCAACTTGTGGGTCACTCTCACCATCACAGCCTCCTCCCCTCCAAATGAACCCCTGCCCTCACAAGGAGACAGGACAAATAATTTGCTTTTCTATTGATTAAGGGGGAAATTATCAAATCAACTTTGTAATTTCAGAAAGGACAAAAACAGGCACATATTTTTATGCTATCCATTTAAAATATAAATATCTTGAATTAAAAAAACCTAAAAAACCATAGTAGTCACACATAACTGAGAAGAGTTGTGCTCATATAGTGATTTATCCTCTTCTCCCACCATTCTGTTAATTTTTAACATTAGGGTGTTGCTGCCGCAGCTCAGTTATATCTGTTGGGGCTGAGAAATCAGGAAACACTTGCATTCCGATTCTTCCTTCAACTGCTGCATCTAACTCAGGGGGGTGAGAAAACAGTTCCAGTTCCAGCTAACCATCCTTCAAGTCTAATGAATCCTTAGGTTCCTTTAAGATCATACCTTTTGAAGAGTGGCCTGTTTCTTTCCATACTAAAGAGAAATCTCAATGCTCGGAAAGCATAACACTAGAAAATAAAAGGATACATGAATTTTCAATGGTGGCTCGGCAAACTATGACATTTACCGGGAAGAATTATCACGGAGTAAACATTAAAGTGACTTTTACAGTGAGTATCTGGCCTAAGTGGGAGCCAAAGCTTATAATGGAAAACAGAAAACACCTAACACCTGCATTAGCTCTCGCCTTTATAAGTGTTTTTGTTGTAGAGCACTAGGGACCTTGGTCTTGTTTCACTCAGTTCTTTTCATTAATTCCTTTCTAGAGAGTGCACATGGAGCACAGAGACAAGAAATAAAATCCCTATGCTGAGAAAACCAAACGTCCAAAGATTTCCAGGAGCTCATGGTTTATTTTGTTTCTAGCCTGCTATGTATGCCTCAATATTTATATGGTTTCTGTGAGAAAACACCACAAGAAATGATGACATATAAAAATAGCCACAGGCGCACTGGACTCAACCTGACAAATTGGTCTCTTGAGTAAGGAGTCCTACGCAGTCCCCAAATAGAACAATCTACAGCAATTCCCTAGAACACTTAGAGAGAGGCCTGTGAGGGTTTAACTAAGGAAAATAAACAACTGAGATTTTGCAGTGCTGACCAAAAAAAAAAGAGAGAGAGCCCCCAGACTGCAGTTGTACCCACACAAAAGGCCACCTCTGGAGTGACAAGAGTCTGCTCAACTGAAGCTGGGACTGGCTCATAAAATTAATCATCCAAGAGGACAGACAGATGATGAAATGACATGAACGGGCTTGGTGAGACAAGGGGGCTGCACACTCCTCAGAAACCATCTCCATTGGGATTGGGTAAGACCTCTCCTGATATCACTAAATGCTTGCAGGGTGGACGCAGCTGTGCTTCCCAGCACGATGGCCCACCGACCCCCACACCTGCATGTTGTCCTTGGTAGCTCTGCAAAGTGCCCGGCTACCAACACCCACACAGCTCAGGAGCCTCCACTAGCTGTGGCAGCCATCCTGCATGAGAGCTCTGCAATGGGACTGAAGTTCAAGGTTGTTTCCTATGTCCCTTGCTAAATGACATGGGGAAAAGGTGAGCTGAATGAAACTACTGCCAATTTAACTCTAACCCTGAATTTAACCTTCTAGCATCAGTGCAGACACGGGTGCCTCGTTGCCCACGCTTCAGAAAAGCACACGGGGACCAGCAGAAGTGTGCTCTTCTGTTAGCTTTGAGGCCTCCTCTCCTGGGAAACACCCTTTCCCAGCCACACCTCAGTCCCACTGAGCAGCCTCCCTTCCTTAAGCATACGCTAAGCTCCTGGGCTTCTGCACTTTGACATGCTGTTTGTGTATGGAATGCCTTTGCACTGTATAGCAGATGCTATTGGTACCTCACCCAATATCCCTTTAACCAATGGGTAAGTCCCTTTTCATCTATTAAGACCCATTTTACCACTAGTCCTTTTTGATTACTGTGACCCATGTTTAAAAATAGAAAATAATTTTCCTCTGTTGTTATTTTTTGATACAGAAGCAAAGCATATTTTTTTATAAAAGGAACTTCCTGATAAGAGCAGAAACAGCTAAATAAAATCACCGAATTCTCCCATACAGAGTGACTACTATTAAGCCTGTCAAAATGTTTTAATCCGATTTGTCTCCACAATCACCTCCCTGGCCAGATTTTTTTCCCTCAGCACAGGGACCAACACAAACCTAAAAATTCTAAAATTCACAGGTTACGTAATCAAGTTTCCCCAGATTTCATTAGCTTGATATTGAAGAACAATAGACATGTTTATTACCTGTAATAGATTAGTTTTTGCTCCATTCTTTTGTTTGTTTGGTAAAATTAATGTTGCAATTGTATATACACCATTTTCCTGGAAGAATAATGGGGCTGTTATCAGTGACAAGTGGCTTTGCCATGGAAGCACATAATAAAGAAGCAACTACAAACTCTCAAAAATTTATGTTAAAACATAATAAAAATGTATGTTAAATTTATGTTATGTTAAATATGTTAGAATATTTTCAGAATTTTAAGTAAATATAACAGAAAAATACTAAAATTGCCAACATTGTAGCTTACCAAAGATTATAACCACAACCTTAAACAATAATCAACTGTCTGTAATGAGTCATGATTATAATTATTAAAGTATATAAATTTATATGGAGTCAGCACAAATGCCTATCAACTGATGACTGGACAAAGAAAGAAATAGAAAAAGACACCAAAAAATGGAAGAATACTCCATGTTCATGGATTGGAAGAATTGTCCATACTACCCAAAGAAATTTACAGATTCACAACAGGAATCACTGTGCACTTGCTCCCCATGTAGGACGTCTGTCCTTAATGAGTTGTACTATGAGAATTAACGGTAGAAAACTAGTCTTCAAACAGTACTTTATACTTTGTGCATCTATGTGGGTGCAAACTGTTGAAATCTTTACTTAGTATAGAGTTAATGATCTCCTGTATATAAAGATAATTAAAAATGAATCTTAATGAATGGGATGGGAGAGGGTGTAGGAGGTGGGACAGGAGTGGGGGTAGGAGGGTGAGTATGGGGGGAAGAATCACTATAATTCAAAGGTGTACCTATGAAATTTATATTTATTAAATAAAAGCTTTTTTTAAAAAAAGACACTGCAAATTTAAAAAAAAAAAACAGAAATTTACAGATTCATGCCATCCCAATCAAAATGAATTATCTTCTGAGATAAAAAAAAAAAAAAACAATGTTAAAATCCATATGGAAACACAAGAGACCTCCAATAGCTAAAGCCATCTGAAGCAACAAAAATAAAGTTGGGAGCATCACAATACCTAATTTCAATACGTACTACAGGGAAGTTATAATCAAAACAGCCTGATACTGACACAAAAATAGACATGCAGGACAATGGATCAGAATAGAAACTCCAGAAATTAATCCATGCAGCTTCAACCAACTAGTTTTTGACAAATGAGCTAAAATCAATCCCAGAGAAAGGATAATCTCTTCAATAAATGGTGTAGGAAAAATTGGATCTCTACATGCAAAGTATGAAACAAGACCCCTACCTTACACCTTATATAAAAATCAATTCACAATGGATCAAGGATCTAAATATGTGGCCTGATATCAAATTACTAGAGGGAAACTCTGAAAGACATTGACACAGGCAGAGAGTTCTTGGAAAAGATCCTAGAGGCAGAGGCAATCAAAGCGAAAAATAGACAAATTGGATTACATCAAGCTGAGAAGCTTCTGCACTGCAAAGGAAACATTCAAAAAAGTGAAGAGGCAACTGACAGAATGAGAGAAAATATTTACAAACTATGCAACTGACAAACGATTGATATCTAGGATCTATAAAGAGCTCAAGAAATCCAACAAACACAAAACAAACAACCCAGTTAAGAAATTGTTAAAGGACATAAACAGGCATTTTTCAAGGAATGAAATACAAATGGCCAACGATCAGGATCACTAGCATCAGGGAAATGCAAATCAAAACCACTATCAGAGGCCAGCGCCACAGCTCACTAGCCTAATCCTTCGCCTGCGGCGTCGGCACTCTGGGCTCTAGTCCCAGTTGGGGTGCCAAATTCCGTCCCGGTTGCTCCTCTTCCAGTCTAGCTCTCTGATGTGGCCCAGGAAGGCAGTGGAGGATGGCCCAAGTGCTTGGGCCCTGCTCCTGCAAGGGAGACCAGGAGGAAGCACCTGGCTCCTGGCTTCTGATCAGCACAGCGCCAGCCATAGCAGCCATTTGGGGGGTGAACCAACGAAAGGAAGACCTTTCTCTCTGTCTCTCTCTCTCTGTCTAACTCTGCCTGTCCAAAAAAAAAAAAAAATGACTATCAGGTTTCACCTCACCCCAATTAGAATGGCTATCATCCAAAAATCAAAAAATAATAAATGCTGGCAAAGATGTAGAGAAAAACGTATCCTAATGCACTGTTGGTGGAAATGTAAACTTATACAACCATAATGGAAGACAGTACAGAGATTCCTCAGAAATCTGAAAATAGAACTATCATATGACCCAGCCATCTCACTCCTTGGAATTTATCCAAACAAAATGAAATAAGCATATGAAAAAGTTATTTGTACCCCCATGTTTATTGCAGTTCCATTCACAATAAGAGCTAAGATATAAAATCAACCCAGATATCCATCAACAGATGACTGGATAAAGAAATTGTGGTAATATACATTATAGAATACTATTCGGCCAAAAATTAATGAAATCCTATCTTTTGCAACAAAATAGATGCAACTGAAAACCAATATGCTTAATGAGATATCCTGTCCCAAAAGACAAATATCATATGTTTCTTCTGACATGTGGTAGTTAATATAGAATACCAAAAAAATGTATAGGAATGAAATGGACATCTTGATATTTGATTTTTATTTTTAACTCTTGTGTATACTCCTATGGAACTGTGGTCTTTCTGTTTTTTTACTTGCTGGATATTATGATTAATGATGGATTAAGCCTATGATTATAGAGTAAACTGAAAGCACATTTTTACAACAATTAAAAAAAAGGAAGGAAGGAAAGAAGGAGGGAGATTGAGGGTGGGGAAAAATTTGGGATAATTAATATACAGAGTACAAAAATGTGTAACATATATGAGCAAATTGACATTATGAGATTTGATGATTGTTTATAGCCCTTGTCTACACTCTTGAGGAACATTGTTTTGTTTTGTTTTTACTCACTATTTACTGCATTCTTTATTGAGTGGAAATTTAAACTTACGATTATAAAGAAAATCTACTAAAGTATGCCATTGTAAAATTTAAATAAAAATAAGAAAGAAGGAGGGGAGAGGGTGGGAATGAGGGAGAGATGGAAAATATGCATGAAATACAAAAAAAAAGCTATTGTAAAAATTAAAGGAAAAAAGAAAAGAAAGAAGGAGGGTAGTTTGAGGGAGCCAAGTATGGTTATCTTCTTAGAATTATATCTATGAAACACAAGAAATCTGTTCTCCTTCTATTAATAAAAATTAAGGAAAGATAAAGTATATAAATTTAAAGTGTTTAAATACAGTAAAATAAAAAACATAAATTTTAAATAGGAACAGAGAAAAAGAATCCTAAAAGCCTTTTTTAAACTTTTATTTATGGATTACAATGGCTTCCCCCCCCATAACTTCCCTCCACCCGCAACCCTCCCCTTCCCTGCTCCCTCTCCCCTTCCATTCACATCAAGATTCATTTTCAATTCTCTTTATATACAGGAGATCAATTTAGCATATATTAAGTAAAGCTTTCAGCAGTTTGCACCCACACAGAAACACAAAGCGAAAAATACTGTTTGAGTACTAGTTATAGCATTAAATCACAATGTTCAGCATATTAAGGACAGAGATCCTACATGAGCAGTAAGTGCACAGTGACTCCTGTTGTTGACTTAACAAATTGACACTCTAGTTTATGGTGTCAGTAATCACCCCAGGCTCTTGTCATGAGTTGCCAAGGCTATGGAGGCCTTTTGAGTTTGCCAACTCTGATCATATTTAGACAAGGTCATAGTCAAAGTGGAAGTTCTCTCCTCCCTTCAGAGAACGGTACCTCCTTCTTTGATGACCTGTTCTTTCCACTGGGATCTCACTCGCAGAGATCTTTCATTTAGGTCATTTTTTTTGCCAGAGTGTCGGTTTTCCATGCCTAAAATACTCTCATGGGCTTTTCAGCCAGATCCGAATGCCTTAAGGGCTAAAAGAATCCTAAAATCTTTACACTCTTCATTTTAAATAGTTAACTATGAATATAACCTCTCTTTGTAGTTTTAGAAATTAAAGAATACATATAGAATGATCATAAAAATTTAAGGAAAAGAAACAAGAATAACAAACTTTAAAAAAAGAAAATGAAAGCTACTGGCAGAACTAGTTAATGCCTTCCTAGACTTACTCAAATACAAATATTTACATGGAGGAAGGAACAAAATGTATTTACTTATTGCTACTTTTTTGGTAGGCATTAAATATACAAATTAGTGGTCTCTGTTATGTAGCACAGTTATATTATAACCCCAAAGAACTCTACCTACCTTACTGCATATAATCTTCATAGCTATTTTGTAAATAATTTCTAACTTCCTGTTTTATGCTTGGGAAAATAAGACTTAGCAATGTTAAGGCATTTCTTCTAGGAGCTAAGGCAATAAGATGTGATAGCAGAAACTCCACCTCCATCTAGGTAATACCAAATATCCTGTCCTTCCAGCTACCCCTGATTTACTGAGCTCCCCCAGGGACTTCCTCCTTAAGTAATGTGAACCTTTAATAACATTTATGGATTTGTATATTTTGAAGTGAAAGTTGGATGTATTGTATTGAACCCCCCCAAAAACATCTCCCCTATAAAATTCAGTAAACAGGAGGTAGCTTTTGAAATACAAACCAAAACACAGGTTAGATATACAGATGAGTATATTTATATGTTCATTTATTTAATTATATAACTGCATAAATATTATATTAATTAATGACTTATACTCTGAAATTGGCTTCTTGGCCATTAATATTTTGCTCGGTTATGACTCTTGTCCATAACCCAAAGAATGCTACAGGATCAGAATTAAGGCCATTCAGGCTACACATAACTTAGGAAAGAAACAGCAACATCAATTAACCACATGGTCAGACCTTTTTAAGTCAAGTGAGTTAAAGGAAGAAGGACAAAAATTAAAAAATGGAAATATCTAACTTAAACAAGAAATGTTAAAATTTTTTAAAATCACATGATGGTATCCTACTTTGTGGGGTTCACAGTGCCAAGAGAGGATTACTCATGATCTGCCTATGGGAGCCTGACCTGGGAGAGCAGAGTTCTCACCTGGACCACCTGGTGGGCATTGGTGTCATTGAGCACCAGTTCCGTGAGGGCGGCACAACAGGCTGCAATGAGAAGCCAAGAGCACGGTCAGCAAGGTCCTCGCAATCAGTACACTTTCCTAGCAACACTCGGATTCCGCCGGGTGTTCACTTCAATGTCCCCACTCAAGAACACTGTTTTCCTGCTGGCACAGCTCTGGGGGAATGATTCCTAATGTTCTAATTTATGTGCATATACATCCCATCACAGTCTTTTATTAAGCACGTACTGTGTGCCAGGAGGCAGGGACTCTGTCTCTCAGGTTCATTCCAATCCCCAGTGCCCAACATGTGCCTGGTACTTAGGTTCTCAATAAATACACCTACAATGCTAGATAGATGAACACATGTTTTCTATGTATTGTCCTCACACGTGATCCTTGTCATCGGAATGTGTACTATGATTAAGTTTTACTTATGAGAAGACAGGTTCTGACAGGTGAATAGATTAGGCCATACAACCAGAGTGGAAGGGGTCAACAGGGGGAGCCTAGTCTGTCAGACATTCAATTCAGCATGCCTCCCACAGTCATCACGGCAGCCTCTGGTGGTATTCTGCACTGATCTTTGTTCTCCCAGAGGCATGCCAGCTGCTGTGGTAAGGAGCACTCAGATGACAGAGTCCCTGCTGGTAGTCCAGACTGCGCTAAAGGTTTTATGTACATCCTCTGGTAATTCTCACAAAAGTCTTCTAATTACGACACCATTACTGGCTGACACAGACAGTATGCCTGTGACTTGGCAGTGGAGATGCTGCTTAGGGGTGCCCAGATCCAACATGAGAGTGTCTGGGTTTGAGTCCTATTCCTGGCTCCTGACTCCAGCTTCTTGCTAATGTGCAGTAGATCCCTGTCACCCACATGGAAGACCTGGATTGAATTCCTGGCTCCCAGAGTCAGCCGGGCCTAACCCTAGCAATTGCAGGATAGGAATTTTTTCTCTCTCTGCCTCCCTCTCTTCCCCTCTCAAAATAAATAAATAAATAAATAAAAACTAAGCTGAGACTCACAGAGGTTAAAGAACTTGTCCAAAGCCATATGGCTGCCAAAGTAGATGGAGCCAAACTTAGACCCTATTCTTAACTCCTTAACTTTTTATTTTTATTATTTTTCCCTTTTTATTTAGGTATTAAATAAGCTATGTAAAGCAAGTGTACAGCTCCATGAGCCATCCTATTTCTATATACCCTGAAGCTACCCCCCACCCAGAGGCTCCCTCGTGCCCCTCTGAGGACATAAATCCTCCTGTAATCCCACATTATGGGTCACTGCTCTTTTGACATCTATCGCCATCAATCTCACCCACTCTCTCAGGAGTCCAAGAAAGTCTGGGTGCTCTGAGAGTGAGGTGATCACACTTCCAGGGAGCCATCACATAGGGAGCTGCCAACACAAGCCCTGTGTTGAGACCAAGGCCTTCAGAGTGAGCAGAAAGAACAACTGGAGGGTCCCATTTCCCTGTCTGCCTATGTCAGTGAAGAAACATCTCCATTCTTCAGGAGGAAACACTGGGGATCAAAGAAAGGCTGCCATCTCCTGCCCGCACTCCCTCATCCCTCTCCCACCCTCTCTGCTCCTCCATCTCAGGTTCTCCTTGACCTTTAATGGGCCCACACCACACTCTCTGCTCCCTTTATGGCAGCTACAAGAGCACCAGCTTAGCCAGAAACCCTCAGACTGCACTGTAGCCCCACTTGTCCCAAAGGCCAGGTGCCACCATGCACCTGTTCAAGGCAGCCTACCCCCAACAGCATATGCAAGCATCGCTTCTATTGCTTTCATGTGAAACGTACACACAGGGGTAGCACGTCTCTCTGTCCTCTCTTTGGAGCTCATACATGTGAGGAAGGCACCCTCTTGCATCTGGTGAGATGGGAATATGTGCAGTAGATTCTCCCTTAGGTAAGGTGGTCCAAGATTTAGAAATTTCTAGGAAGTATGACTCTGGACACAGATCAAACTGCATTTTCTAACCTAGCTTTGCCAGTAATAAAACTAATATTCACTTTCTTCTCATTTTAAAATTTTCTACTTATATATTTGAGAGACATAGAAAGCAAGCTTCCATCTGCTGGTTTACTCCTCAAATGCCTACAGCAGCTAGAACTGAGCCAAGCTACATCCTGGAGCCAAGAACTCAGTCCAGGTCTTCAACGAGGGTGACAAGAACCCAGCTACTTGAGCCATCCCTGCTGCCTCCCAGGGTATGCACTACCAGGAAACTAATCAGTAACCAGGGCCAGGGATTGAACTGGGGTTCTCCTGTGTGGGACACAGATGTCCTAACTGGCTTCCTAAGTGCAGGGTCAAACACCTGCCCCATTGTCCCATCTCATTAAGTCAGGCTTCCGTGCATACTTTTCAATGAGTTCAGAACGTGGAAGGGAGAGAAAAGCTTGCTGTTTTACTAACCCGCAAGTCCAGCACTGACTTCTGGCAACCACATGGGTTTCACTCTAGATTTTTGCAAAGTTATAAAATGTGCCTAACTAACATTATCACACTAATCTTGAAACAGAGACTAGTAATACAGAATAGCAAATTATATAATATTGAATAATAAGCCATAGTAACATAACATAAACACCTGCTTGAAGAGAGAAGGTATTTTCTTGTATTTCTCGAGGGCTCAAATCTTCTGACAAATGAAGCTGCTGGATCCGGCCTGCAGCATTTGCGCTAGACAAGCTTCCAAGGGAGGAGCGATCAGAAACAAAATTTCTGTCTCTGGAAAAAAAGAGGTAAATGCACAGACCATTTATCAGTTTTTCTTCGTGCTCACTGTCTTCTTCTGTGTTATTTTTATTATTTCGCTTTCCTTCCACCTAGAATTGATTTCTGTGTGTGGTGTGAGGTAGGAGCCATATCTTCATTTCTTTTATGGCTGCTAAAATACTTCCTGAAAAGACTGCTCTTTCTCTTGCTCTGCACAGCTCACCACCTTGGTTTGTGAACTCTGTTTTGCTTCAGTTAATTCACATGAATATATCTCAGTTTTGATTGTTCTGAATTTTCTTTTTCCATGAAATTCCAATCTTCCTTTATTTTAGGAAAGTCCTTTTCTGAGATACTTCTAATTTTTGTTCCTTTTTATATTTCTCTGTATCTCTGGGATCTCAATTATCTACATGTTGAAAACTGATGTACTAGGCCAGCGCCGTGGCTCACTTGGCTAATCCTCCACCTGCGGTGCCGGCACCCTGGGTTCTAGTCCCAGTTGCTCCTCTTCCAGTCCAGCTCTCTGCTGTGGCCCGGAAGGGCAGTGGAGGATGGCCCAAGTGCTTGGGCCCCTGTACCCACATGGGAGACCGGAAGGAAGCACCCAGCTCCTGGCTTCATAGCTTCAGCTGTAGCAGCCGTTAGGGGAGTGAACCAACCGAAGGAAGACCTTTCTGTCTCTCTCTGTCTATAACTCTACCTGTCAAATAAAAAGAAGAAGAAAGAAAACTGAGGTACTGACCTTCCCTTCACTTCTGAATTACCTTCCTGTCTTTGTCTTTTTCCTGTGTATTCTATATTATCTTTTAAGCTTCTTCTCTATTTCACTACTCTCAGTGTTTTTCTGGTATCCCAGTGAACTCATCGGTTCCATGGGTTTTATTTAGTCCTTGTGTTCTTTCTTCTGCAATCTCCTGCCATTCCTGTTGTCTTATCTCACCTTTAATCTCATTTCATGAACTCAAGTTCTGCTTACTGTCTGTTTTTCTGTGTTCTTAGTGCGCTGGCTTCTACAATATATGGATGCTTCACCTGTCCTTTGTCTGCCTTGGTCCCTTTTGCTTTACAGGACTGCTGTCGTTTTTTCACTTCTCTCTGATTTGTGACTGCAGTTCCATCTGAATTTATATGTGCCCAATATAATGCAGATGGAGTATCTTTGATTTCCATCCCAGATAATCTGGGTCCACTGGTATCCTTCCTTCAATGGGCATGGAAATGGGCAGAGAGACAGTCACAAAAGGGGTGATCTTATCAGTCAACATGATCATCTGAAGACTCAAATGGTAGGGATCTCTCCAAGTTATAGAGAACATGGAGCCCTGTGGGAACTGCCTTTGAATTTGGGATTGCAGATGAAAGGGCATGGACAGATTTCTAAAAACTGCACTGACAATAGTGACTATTCATACTCAAGCCACCAGACAACCTGGAAACCTCCACCCCCTAGTACCTGCTCCAGGCAGCCTAAGGGCAGGCACAAGCTGTGAACGGATATTGTTTACCCAGCTGGGGTAATAAATTCTCCCAGAGCTCCAGAGACATATTTAACATTGAGTAAGGGTTAACACATCATCTTCCCATGGAAGAGCTTTCTAACACTGACCAGGATACAGACTACAAAATAACTCTTTAAACATGAAAGAACTTTTTCTATTATGGATACATATGACTTAACAAAAGAGAAAGCTAGTACCTGATATTAGACTCAACTCTGTGCAAGAAAAAAGGCAGATTTTCATCATTAAAGTATTGCTGAACTATTATAGAATTTTTTATTATTAAATAAAGCTACTTTCTGAAAGGGCAAACCACAGTGTTGTAATAACTCTGACTGACAAATACTAAATAATACCATAACCAACATCATCATCACCATCAACATCCTACAAACCCAAGCAAAAAAATCTTTGGCAATTATAATTATTTTGACCAAGGAGCTAGCTTACTATGTCACAACATTTTTGGAAGATTAATACTTTACATCTTAAAGTAACTGAGGGGCGGGTGTCGGGTGCACTGTTTAAATTGCCACTTGGAATGCCTGCTTCCCATACTGGAGGGCCTGGGTTGGAGTCCTGTCTTTATTTCTCATTCCAGATTCTTGCTAATACACAGTCTGGGAGGCAGAAGGTGATGGCTCAAGTTCTTGGGTCCCTGAAACTCATGTGGGAGACCTAGATTGAGTTCCTAGCTCTTGGCTTTAGCCTGACCCAGCCCTGGTTACTGTGGGCTTCTGGGGAGTGCACCAGTGGATGTAAGATCTCTGTCTCCCCCTCTTTCTCTCTCTGTATGTTTGTACCTAAGCTTTTCAAATAAATAAAACACATTTTTTAAATTAAAAACAAATGAAGTAATTGGGACATTCATAAAAGCAAGAAGACTGTCAATGGTTTATAAATTTTTCTCTTTTGTTTCAGTAACAACAGAAATCATGAGCAATGTTACAGTTTGTATTTGCTCTTGTGCTTTGAAATGTTCCCTCAGAGAAAATGAAATTGGTAACACACAGTTCTGCAATATTCCTGGAAGAATAAAATGAACGAAATCTTAATAATATTGATTTGATAACATCTGGTTTTATTAAAATTAAGTCACTCTGCTTTTATTAGGATGGGCTTTATTTACGTACTACTGATCATAAACATGACCTGTTTCAGACAGACATATTTATTTTTAACTCTGATTCAGCATCCACAGAGATGAGTTACGCTTTTGTAAGTAACTGAATTTTCCCATGGATGGTACCAAAAATATATTCTTACTCAATACTTCATAAAATATAATAGTCACATTGCAACATAATTCCAAAGAACCCTTTTAAAATTTGTTTGTTTGAAAGGCAGAGAGAGAAAGAGACAGACAGAGTGAGAGAGATCTCCCAAATGGCTGCAAAGGCCAGGGATGAACCAGACCAAAGCCAGGAGCCAGGAGCTTTTTCCAGGTCTCCCATGTGGGTGCAGGGGCCCAAGCACTTGGAACATCTTCTGCTGCCTTCATAGGCACATTAGCAGGAAAGCTGGATGAGAAGTGGAGTAGCCAGGACTCAAACCAGAGTCCATATGGGATGCTGGCACTAAAGGCAGAGGCTTAACTTTATGCACCACAGCGCCAGCCCCAGAATTTCAATTTGAAGCTATATTAACAAACCAGCCCTTCCCCATACTCACAGCTTAGAATATCACTGGAATACTTTAAAAGGTCATAATATCCACTTTAAAGGACTGCACATAAAGATGATAGAGAAAAGTACAGCAACTCAACCAGCATCAGTAACATAGCAACCATTTGATTGATCACATTCTTTTTATATTAAATAAGAATTATGCATTTGTTCCTTTAATATAGACTTTGTTTTTCTTTTACAAAGAGATGATATACATGCACATGTTAACATTTTAGTATAATATCAGCATTATTGCGCTTGTTGAAATTACAAAGTGCATACACTGATTTAAGGAAAAGATGCAAGACAAATATTTTCTTTACTAGATTTCCACTGATGGCCTTGTACATGCCCGCCATTGAACTGGAGGCTGCTGATACAAAGACAAATAGGAGAGCTCCCAAGGCATATAAAAGATAAACACTCCTGACTTTGATTTAGAGCATTCTTACTACAGGTATAAACAGCTCAGGAAAATATGAATGACCAAACAAACAAACAAAACCCCAAAGCAGGAGGGAAGGAGGTCAGTGTGGACCTAATCTGCCAGCTTGACATGGAGGACCCAGCCTCTGCGAAGTCGGCAAAGGAGACGCAACCCAGACTCACCCTCGTAAAAGGTGAAGCAGCTGCTTGATGCCTCCCCAAACGCGGATCTCCACACTGGTCTCGGGGTCCTCACAAAGCTGCACCAGGATCCAGACGACACTCCAGAGCAGCTTCAGGTGGTCGGAGTGGAGCAGACTCAGGAGGACGGGTACGCCCTCGTAGAGCTTCACCTGCTCCTTCACCTGGGGCTCGGCACAAAGCAGGCGCAGCAGCTCCGCCGTCAGCCTGGAAGGGCAGGAGGGGACTCGCAGCATCACCAGTCAGTGGCTTTACATTTAGGCCAAGGCTCTCACCACGGCACGCGATGTAACACTGGCGTTTTCTACGTCATGAGTCACACTGCACTGTCTGAAAAGGGCCATATCAAAGCCAAGTGTCTTTGGCTTTGCTGACCACACGATCTCTGTCACAACCACTCATCTACGCCAAGACAGCATGAAAGCAGCCACAGACAGCACACAAACACGAACGAATGGGCATGGCTGGGTTACAATAGTTCTGTATTCACAGAAACAAGTGGCAGGCCAAGTGTAGCCTGAAGGGCATGGTTTGCTGACCACTGTTCTAAATCATGCCCTTATTGTATCCTCGTGGGTCTGACCCAAAGTCTACTGACCAGCAGGTGTATACTGAGCACAGACACTATGATTAGCACTGTGCCAAAGATAATAATAGATTTAATCTTGTCTTCAGAAACTAGTTGCAAAAATAAGACACTCATAGGAAATTTCAAGAATGTTACTATTCAGGGTACTTAAGTCAAAGTGCCCAGAGCCTTATCTAAAGAGTTAAATAAAACTGATACTTAAGGTACAAGGCCCAGAATAGCAAGGAAACTATGATAATACACGTTTCATAGAATCAACCTAGCCCCGCCGTCTCACAATTCTCAACACCCCCCCCGAAAGATGGTGTCATCCACTCCCATGGCTACAAACTCTCAGCATAGACATTGCTCCTCACCAAAGTGACATTCCACAAGTGTGCAGAAAACATCACCCTATGGCTAAACTCAAAATTGTTCTCCCCCTCTCCAGATCTGTTCTTCTGAGATCCCGAGTCCTGACTCCTACGATCAGCACAGTCTTTCTAACTTTCCAAGCCAGAAAACTGGGAGTCCTCAGAATACATCTTGTCCTTACACACCCCATCACTGCCAATCAAGAGCCCATAGTCACTCCTATTATCTAGGCAGCTCCTAGGATTAAAGCTTCTGAAAGCTACACAATTTGTTAACTCCACTGCTCTCATCCTTGGGATCCTTAGGCACCCTCCAGCCCCTCCGTCATCTCCCAGTTCCATAATCTCATTCCCGTGCTGCTTTATACTCCCAGTTTTCTGTGGCTTCTCTCCCTCCTGATGTTCTGCTCTGACACTAAGAACATAGGGTCTAGGGGTCAGCACTGAGGGGCAGTGGGCTAAGCTGCTGTCCGTAACACTGGTATACCCTATTGGAGCACCAGCTCAAATCCCAGCTGCTCCACTTCCCATTCAGCTCCCTGTTAATGAGCCTAGGGAAAGCAGGGGACAGTGGCCCAAGTACTTGGGCCCCTGCTACCTATGAGGGAGATCTGGATGGAACTCCAGGCTCCTAGCTTCAGCCTGGCCCCACTACAACCACTGTAGCCATTTGGAGAATGCAATAACAGATGAAAGGTGTACTCTGTGTGTCCATCTACTGAATCACTCTAATACCTCATAATTAAACAGTGATTTACTGTCTGTCTCCACCCTACATGATATCCTCATATCTTAATTGCCTTTGGTTTTCTAATACCTGGTAGAGTGTGGCACTTCACTTGTTGGATCTATCAGTTCAGATAGCTATGTCTCTAAGCTAAGCCCTCTCACTGTTGTCTGAATTTAACACTTCTGTAAAAAGCATTAAATCAGATTGTAAGAAAAATCCAGAAGGATTTACTGTGTCAGAGCCTCACTGCTTGGGATTTGTTACCTATTTTCCCTCTTTAGAAACTTATAACTTATTCCACTAGATATCATATGATGCAGACTGAAACTTTAAACACAGCAACAGCAACCTAGTAACTATTTGGGAACCTAGTAACTATTTGGGAACAGTAATTCTTTAGAACAATATCCAATTCAAGTGAAAATAAATCCATTTTATAGCAGATTCTATTTTAAGTTATAACAAGTGATCATAAAACAAGTCAGAATATATCTTATATTGATGCCTTAAACAAAATGGTTTTTAGCAATCTAATTATTTATTCCACGCACAATTTGCAGTTACTGAAAGTAGAGCAACCTCATAGTTTCTTTCCCTAAAAATACAAATGTAAATAAGTGCAATTAAAAAACATTAAAGAAGCCATCATATATGTAATTAGATTCTATGCCAAGACCTAAAAGTAATGCAGAACTGAAGATAAATCAATATACCCCTTTGCTCTAGTCTTTTTATATAAACTTAAAAAGAAAATAAATGCCAAGCTGACTCATGGTATTCAGTGAACAATATAAATAACATATGCAAGGTGCTTCAACATTCACAAATCAATAAACATCATAAGTCACATCAATAAAATGAAGAACAAAAACCATATGGTCATCTCAGTAGATGCAGAGAAAGCATGTGATAAGATTCAACGCACCTTCAAGATTAAAAACCCTCCACAAATTAGGTATAGAAGGAACATTCCTCAAAATTATAAATCCTTAGGGTTTTCCCTTAGGGCTCTGGGAAGGTTTTGTTGCCCCGTGTTATCAGGTAACCCATCTGGTCCTGAGGAGAGAATTCTCCTGGGAGCTTTGGGGGCAAAGGGTTTCAATAGATGGTTCTCAAACAAAGTAATACAAATGGCCAACAAACATATGAAAAAAAAAACTCAACATCAGTAGCCAGCAGGGAATCAAAGCAAAGCTACAATGAGATATCCCCTCATCCCTGTCACCACGGCTAAAATCCAAAACACAGACAGTGACAAATGCTGGCAAGGATGTGGACAAAGGGGAACATTTATACACTGTTGGTGGGAATGTAATTAGTGCAGTCACTGTGGAAAACAGGGTGGAGATTTCTTTAAAAAAACAGAAAATATACTTGCCATATGATCTGACAATCCCACTACTGGGTATATACCCAAAAGTCTTGAACACAATGTATCAAAAGGATACCTGCACCATCATGTGAATAGCAGCACTGTTCACAATAGCCAAAATTTGGAATCAACCAAGGTTTCCCTCATCAGATGTATGTATAAAGAAAATGTGGTATAAATACATAGTGGAATATTATTCAGCTATAAAAAGGAATGATATTCTACCATTTGCAACAAAATGGATGCAACTGGAAGCCTTCACATTGAGTAAAATAAGCAGGACACAAAAAGACAAATATTACATGTTCTCCCTTATATGTGGGAGTTAAATTTAAAAAAACAAAAAAAAAGGTTTTGTGAATCAGTATTGCTGCATATTTTTTCAAAAGTTTGTCTTATAAATTTGTCAATCAATGGTTAAGAATGTTATACTACTAGTTTTAATGATCTCTGGTTATTTTAAAATTTACTGGATATGGGAGAAATGGTCATTTTTTTCTTTCAATTATTGTATATAGCTGTTGTATAATCCTACTATCTAGGGTCTTTTTGTTTTTTACTTGTTAAACTTCTTTTTGGTGAAGTATTAGGCCTTTTTACTATAATATAAATTTAAAATGTTATCTCAAATACCAAAAAGAGGGGGGTAGAATATTAAGCCAGCACTTGTGATGCCAGCAACCCACATGGACACTGGTTCAAGTCCCAGCTGCTCCGTTTCCAATCCAGCTCCCTGCTAATATACATGGGAAAGCAGTAAAAGATTGCCCAGATGCCTGGGAACCTGCCACCCACATGGGAGATACCCAGAAGAAGCTCTGGGCTCCTGACTTTGGCCTGGCACAGCCTTAACCATTACAGACATTTGGGGAGTATACCAGCGAATGAAAGACATCCCTCCCTCTATATCTATCTCTCCTTCTCTGTCTGTAATACTGCCTTTTAAATACATAAAAAATAAATCTTTAAAAAAAAAAAAAAACAAGACAGAAAGGGAGAAGGAGGGTAGGAGGGAGAGATGGGCAGAGAAGAAAAGGAGAAAAGGAATATCATTAAGTTCTATAAGAACTGCATCTATAAAGCACAGTGAATCTGTTAAAAACTAATTTAAAAAGACTCCACTAAAGACTATTAGAACTTTTTTGAGTTTGGTAAAGTGGCAGCATATAAAATCAACACAAAAAATTCAATAGCCTTTGTATACACAGATAAATGCCATGGCTGAGAAAGAACTTCTAAGATCAATCCCATTCACAATAGCTACAAAAAAAAATCAAATGCCTTGGAATGAATTTAAACAATGATATCAAAGATCTCTACAATGAGAATTATAAACCATTAAAGAAAGAAATATAAGACACAAAAAACAGAAAAATTTTCCATGTTCATAGATTGGAAGGATCAATATCATCAAAATGTCGATACTACCAAATCAATTTACAGATTCAATGTGATACCAATCAAAATACCAACAAGATTCTTCTCAGATATAGAAAAAATGATGCTGAAATTCATATGGAAACACAGGTGACCCCAAATAGCTAAAGCAATATTATACAACAAAAACAAAACCAGAGGTACCACAATACCAGATTTCAAGACATACTACAAGGCAGTTATAATCAAAACAGCCTGGTACTGGTACAAAAACAAATGGATAGACCAATGAACAGAATAGAAATACCAGAAATCAATCCAAACATCTACAGCCAACTTATATTTGACAAAGGAGCTAAAATCAATCCCTGGAGCAAGGATAGTCTCTTCAACAAATGGTGCTGGGAAAACTGGATGTCCATATGCTGAAATATGAAGCAAGATCACTACCTTACACTTTACACAAAAATCCACTCAAAATGGATCAAAGACCTAAATCTATGACCTAATACCATCAAATTATTAGAGAACATTGAGAAACCCCCCCAAGAGATTACCACAGGCAAAGACTGCTTGGAAAAAACTCCAGGGGAACAAGCAATCAAAGCCAAAATTGACAATTGGATATCATCAAATTAAGAAGCTTCTGCACTGCAAAAAAAAAAAAAAAAAAAAACACTCAGCAAAGTGAAGAGGCAACTGACAGAATTGGAGAAAATATGTGCAAACTATACAACTGACAAAAGATTAATAACCAGAATATACAAAAAGCTCAAGAAACTCAACAACAATAAAAAAAAAACAGTTAAGAAATGGACAAAGGACATAAACAGACACTTTTCAAAAGAGGAAATCCAAATGGCCAACAGGCACATGAAAAAATGTTCAGGATCACTAGCCATCAGGGAAATGCAAATCAAAACAACTATCAGGTTTCACCTCACCCCAATTAGAATGGCTCTCATACAGAAATTAACAAATAACAAATGAAGGTGAGGATGTGAGGAAAAAGGCACACTAATCCACTGTTGGTGGGAATGTAAACTGGTGCAGCCACTGTGGAAGACAGTGTGGCGATACCTCAGAAATCTGAGTACAGACCTACCATATGATCCAGCCACCCTACACTTGGGAATTTACCCAAACCAAAAGAAATCAGCATATAAAAGAGTTATCTGCATCTCCATGTTTATTGCAGCTCAGTTCACAATAGCTAAGATACGGAATCAATCCAAATGCCCATAAACTTGAAGACTGGATAAAGAAATTATGGGATATGTACACGATGGAATACCACACAGTGGTAAAAAAAAAAAATGAAATCCTGTCATTTGGAACATAATCGATGAAACTGGAAAACATCATACTTGGTGAAATAAGCCAGTCCCAAAATGATAAATATCATAAATTCTTCCTGATCTGTGGTAACTAATAGAGCACCTAAAAGGTAATCTATAGAAGCAAAACTGATACTTTGAGATAGCCCCTTGTCTCAACTGTTAAGGAACATTTTTTTCATACTATTTGTTGAACTCTTAGTATAGAGTTAATCTTATGTGTATAAAGTTAATTGAAAATAGATCTTAGTAAAAAATAAGAATGAGAAAAGGAAAGGGAAGAGGAAGAAGGATGGGAAGGTGGGTACAGTGGGAAGAAGCACTATGTTCCTAAAGTTGCATTTATGAAATGCATGAATTTTTATACCTTAAATAAAAGGTTTCTGGGGAAAAACTTTAAAAATAATTAAAACTGAAAAAATGGCATACATAATAATAAGCACTCACATCTAATATAAGACGCTGCCTTTTTCCCCTGTTAGCAACCCTACCTTTTAGAAAGCAGGTCATATTCATGTAGAATCATCAACAGATTTTCCACAATGTTGAGTTCACTTATCTTCTCCCTACATTCTGGACTACAAATTGGAAATTATTAGTAAAAACATAGTTTACTACTCCCACTTATTTATTACCCTTTTCATTCCATCTCAAAGGAGAGACGATAAAAGAAAAAAAAGGAATCATGTCATTCAGCAGAAAGCAATGACCCACTTACTGCCATAAACATATATTTAAAATCTTTTCATCAGAATGAACAAGACACCTATACAAAGTCAAGTTTTCCAAGAATTTTATTAAGGCCAATAATGCTGGAAAACATTGTGGATGTTATGATGAATACACATGTGAGAATGATGAGAGAAAGTCAAGGAGATGGAGATTCAGTGCCCCAAAAAATACTGTGATAATTTTGAAAGCAGAAGTAACTGAGAGCCGAGTGGAAAAATCAAGTAAATATTTCAGGTCAGAAAGACACACAAACATGAAACTGCCATTTATCTCTCTGACTTTACATTTTAAAGTGATGCTTTCCATCCAGGATCCTCTTCAATATATAAATGTTATTTCATGCTTATTTTTCACAAACATGAACTAGGTAGGTAGCAAAGTCACTGCGCACTTCTGCACCACACTCACCGAAATCGCAGCAGCAGCAGAACTGTTAAGTACAGTAAGATACACTCACCTTTCTGCTAAGCTCGCCAGAGCTAGAAGGGCACCCAGGAGAACATTTGTGTCTCTGGCACCAAGTAGATTTACTAAAGTCTGAAAAATTAAGGAAAACAAAGTTTAATTTTAATAGTACTACAAGTTTCTTGAATGGTACACTGCTTGCTTCTAAAGATCAAAGAAAAGTGGTAAGTACTGTGGCATAGAAGGCTAAGCCTCCGCCTGCAGTGCAGGCGTCCCGTGTGGGTGCCGGTTTGAGTCCCAGCTGCTCCACTTCTGATTCAGCTCCCTGTGAATGTGCCCGAGAAAGCAACAGAGGATGGCACAAGTGTTTGGGCCCCTGCACCCATGTGGGAGATCCAGAAGAAGCTCCTGGCTTCTGATCAGCACAGCCCCAACCGTTGTGGCCAATTGGGGAATGAACCAGTGGATGGTAGATATCTCTCTCTCTCTCTCTCTCTGTATCTCTGACTTTCAAATGTAAATGAATAAATCTTTATTAAAAAAAGATCAAACAAGCTCAACCTTTTTTTCACTCAGTATTTTAAAATGTATGTGTGTACACAATTAGACACAAACCATACATATAATTTT